GTGCTCTGCGGGGTGGCAGGCGCAGGGGCGTCCCTGCCAGGAGCATGTTGTTGCCTTCCCCCACCAGCAGCACCTTTGCCACGCCAGGGGTCAGCATCTCCAGCCAGCGGATCGCCACCATGATGATCAGCAGAAGCGCGGCCCCGACCCGAGGCGCGCAGCGGCCGTGCAGCGGGCGGCTCAGCCCCCGCGGGGCGGGCAGGCGACCGCGAGGAGGAACGCTCGCCTCTGCCGCCATCGCCGCCAGGCATCGGGGGCGGGGCCCGAGCAGGTGGAAAGCTGGGCCGAAAAGCCGATGGAAGTGAAGAGGGAATGATCAGTGCTGCAACCAGCAGCAGGAATCGGTGTGGCCTGTCGCTCGAGGACGGGCGACGGATCGGCCAAAGCTAATCGTGATTCGGCATGTTAAGTTACCATCACACGTTTAGCCTTGAGCCAAAATGGCTACGGACCCTCCTCCTCCTCCTCCTCCTACCCTACTCCTCCTCCTCCCTCTGCCTGCTCCTCCTCGTCCTCCTCTACTTCTCGTCCAGCTCCTGTTCCTCCTCCGCCTTCCTCCTCCTTCGCCTTCCTCCCCATCATTCCTCCTCCTCCCCCCCCTCCTCCCCACCCCTCATCCTCCTCCCCCTCCTCCATCCTCCTCCCCCTCCTCATCCCCTTCCTTCTCCCCCTCCTCCTCATCCTCCTCATTTTCCTCCCCGGTCTCCTCCTCCTCATCCGACGACGAGGACGACAACGACGACGACGACGACCGACGACCGAAGACCGACGACCGACGACCGCGGACCGCCGACGACCGACGACCGACGACCGACGACGACCGACGACGACCGACGACGACGACGGTCAGCACCGCCGAAGGGCCGCCGCTGAGGGCCGCCGAAGGGCCGCCGCTGAGGGCCGCCGAGGGGACGCCGCGGAGGACCGCCGAGGCCCGCCGAAGCTGGTCCCTGCTGTCCGCGCCGCGCAGGCTCGCCGCGGACGGCGGGCTCGGCGACCACGCCTGGCCGTCGGCCCGGCGGGGCGCGGGGCGCCTCCGCACCTCGTCGCTGTCGTCGTCGTGGTCGTCGTGGTCGTCGTCGAGGTCGAGGTCGTCGTTGTCGTGGGCGCCTTCTTGCCCAGGTGGCTTATGTTTTGCTACGGTCTGTTGTGGTGTGGCTTGCCATGGTATGGTATGGTCTGTGATGCGCTGATACTGTTATGTTGTGTTGTGTTGTGTTGTGCTATGGTGTCTTATGCTATGTTGCGGCATGAGTTGTTAGTATATGGCATGGTTTGACAGGGCATGTTCATGTATGGCAGATGTCGCTGTACTGTGGCATGTGCCATGATGTGTGTGGCATGGAGTGCAATGGCGTGGCGTGTTATGTTATGGTATGATATGTCATGTCATGATGTGTTAGGTTACGTCGCCACTACGACAATTCGGCCAACATGATGCGCCTCCCATTAGGCGACGGGGCCCCGGTACAACGGTGTCAGTGGCGCTGCGCCCGCGACATGAGGAGGAGACGTCACAGGGGCCCGTCAGGCCACGGGGCCCCAATACAGCGTTTTGTTCAAGCACTGTTTTGCTCAAATCTCTGGCGGATCCACCCTTTCGAATTTGAACCCGATGGTTTCTAAAGCCAGTCGAGATCTTTTTTCCAGGAAGCCTCAAGCGAGATCCACACTTTCGAAATCTCTGGTCAGAAATTTAACATTTTGAATGCCAAACGTTGTGGCCATTGCGAAGCGAAGGTTTCGCTCGAGAAATTCAAAAGAATTAAACAAATTCAAAACTTTCGGGATCGAATTCGCAATGGCGCTCCCGCCGAAGATTTCTTCCGAACTAGAATCCGAAACCTATTTCGACATGGCGCCGTCCAGGACTTCCTGCAAAACAGAATTCGGAGCATTTCGGGTTCAATTTCAAAATGGCGCTTCCGCCCAGGACCTCCTGAAAATTGGAATTCGACTAATAAAGGTCGGCACTTCTTTAACTCGAATTCGCAATGGCACTCCCGCCTAAAACTTGTCTTGGTGGAAACACGAAACGGGCCACAGCTTTCGTAGAACCGATGTATGTGATGCTGTGTTGAGTTTCGTACGGTGCAGTATACGTTGTTGTGGTAGTTTTTGGTGTGGCATGTGTTATTATGGTATGTGTTGTTTGTGTGATCATATGGTGTGGCATGCGACTGTATGATGTGCTGCTGTGGTATGTGTTCGAGGAGGGATGCGTTGCTGTGGCATGTCGTGCGACGTTGCGTCATGGAATGCTGTGGCAGGTTACGGTGTAGTATACTGTGGTATGTTATGTCATGATATGCTGGGAAGGGACAGTGCTGCGACTGAAACATCGTAATCTCGTCTTCGGGCAGAGAGATTCTTCACACCAAAGACGCACAAACAACTGCAGAATCGTCGTGACGTACTCTGGACCGTGTAGTGCGAGATACTTGCGAAGCCCTGCCCTCATGCTGTCCGTAGTCACGACGGCTCGAACGCGCTGAGCGAGCAAGACTGCCCGCGGGCTTATGCAGAGTCCTGTGCGTGCAAAGCCTCTTTAGTCACGAAGTGCTTCGGCGCTTCAGCGCTGGAAGGAAATCATGAACATCATCAGCATAATCATAATCATCATCAGCAGCAGCAGCCTCATCATCATAATCATCATCATCATCGTCATCATCGACATCATCGTCATCATGTGCATCATCATCAGCAGCATCAGCATCATTAGAATCATCATCAGCAGCAGCAGCCTCATCATCATAATCATCATAATCATCATCGTCATCATCGTCATCATCGTCATCATCTTCATCATCATCATCAGCAGCAGCATCAGCATCTTCATCATCGTCATCATCATCCAACTCCTCATCATCATCATCATCATCATCATCATCATCATCATCATCATCATCATCATCATCATCATCGTTATCATCAGCAGCGGCATCAGCAGCATCATCATTATCACCATCACCAGTATCGTCATCTTCATCTTCATGTTCATCTTCATGCTCATGTTCATCTTCATCTTCATCAACATCATCTTCGCCTCCAGCGGCGAACTTATCTCGGCGCACGGCGGGCGGCTACAAGCCCCAACGCTCGTGGTCGTCGCCTTCGCCGTCGTCGTCGTCGTTGCCATCGTCGTCGTCGTCGTCGTCGTCGTCGTCGTCGTCGTCGTCCCCTGACACCTTCTCGCCGTGAACAGATCACGACAAAGGGCTTTTGCATATCTTCAGCCCCTGGGGGCCCTCGCTGGGCCTCGTGGAGCCCATGCCGGCCAGGACGCGCACAGGGAGGAGTCTCAACGGGCCCTCCTCCGACTGCCATGTCCGTCTCGGCGTGGGGCGAACACCTGCGGCACGCAGGTGGTTCGCACAATGCACTTTCGGCGCTCGGCGCCTTCTCACCACACAGCTGATGCTGCCGTTCCTCCTCCTCCTCCTCCTCCTCCTCCTCCTCCTCCTCCTCCTCCTCCTCCTCCTCCTCCTCTTCCTCCTCCTCCTCCTCCTCCTCATCCACCTCCTCTTCCCTCCCTCCTCCTCCTCCTCCTCCTCCTCCTCCTCCTCCCTCCCTCAGTCCTCCTCCTCCTCCTCCTCCTCCTCCCCTCCTCCCCCTCCTCCTCCTCCTCCTCCTCCTCCTCCTCCTCCTCCTCCTCCTCCTCCTGCTGGGGCCGCTGCAAAGCGGCTCTGGATGAAAAGCCGGTCCTAGGGCCCAGAAACGGATCTGGACCTCTGCGGGTCGACGCTGTGAAGAAATCTTGCGGTCGGGGGTCGACGGCGGCCAGCGCTGGAAAGACCCGCAGGGTTGAAAAGGCCTTCATTTCGCAGGCTCGGCCTCTCTCCTGAGGGCGGTGTTCCCGCCCGGAGGCTGGCGAGCTTCGAGGGTTTCGGACATTCCCATTGGTTCCTGAACGTTTTCTCGCCACGGGATGCTCTCCAGGAGCTGCGCCTCGCAAGATCACCAGGTCGACGCTCGAGAAAAAGTATTCACCAAAATTCCCACGGCGGCGACGGAAAAAACAAAAAACACTATGCAGGGGGGGTCCCAAATCTGGCGGCCAACGCCCTGGACCCTAAGTAAGTGTTACAAAAAATTAGCGGCGGCCGCGCGCAAAAGCCAAACCGACAATAGAAAGACGAGGGCGGCGGACTCTGCGCACACTGTATGTACTACGTGACATGAGCATGGAAAGATACCGTTGTAGATCATGTACGTAGACGAGCTTAACTCGCGCGCATGCGTGCGTACATTCTTACCACATATACTTTTGATGTGAAGATCGTCGGGCCGCGAAATACGAGCCGGAATCCGACGCCGCAACCCAATTCAAAAATACCTCCGTTCTCTTATCCGAAAGCGCCCGCAGTCGGTTCCACAATCAAGCGAAACCTTCAACCCACGAGCGCGCACCGAAAACATACGTAACAAAACATGTCCAAGAAATGTCTGGAAATATCACGCTTCGCCGTCGTTTACCCCCCCTAGGCCCGAACTCTCCATGCCACCGCGACGAATTACACAACATAGGTCTTCTGACCCCCCCCCCAGGCCCGAAACACCCACACAAAAGTAACAACCGCGCAACCGCGACGAATTGCACAACATAATTCTGTTTCGAAGGGAGCAAACGCGCATCCGCGACGAGGCCTCTGGCCCACGGCCCAGGCGCGGTAGCGGGGTGGGCTGAAGGCAGTCTTGCAAACAACCGATGCAAATTCGTGGCGGCGGCGGCGGTCCCGAACACTAGGTGCACTTTGCAAGAGACGGATTCGGTGACGGCGGCCCGCCCAGAGACTCGGTGGCGTGGAGGCTTAGTAGACCAGGTGATGTGGTGATGCCGTTTATTCTGGGGCGCCCGAGCTGCTCCGGCGCCGGAGTGTTCGGCCGGCGCCGCCCCGAGCGAGCGGCGGCCCCGCGCTGCGGCGCCCCCGCCGAGCGCCGCCCGTCGGCTGCGGCCGCCGTGCGCCGCGGCGAGGGGGCGCCGGCCGGGGTGCAGCGGGTCACGGGCCAGCCAAGTAGCCGCTCCCGGCCTCTGCCTGCGCGGAGGGCCAGGCGGACGGGGCCGGAGCTCCGCCGCCCCTCCTCCTCCTCCTCCTCCTCCTCCTCCTCCTCCTCCTCCTCCTCCTCCTCCTCCTCCTCCTCCTCCTCCCCCACCTCCCCCTCCTCCCCCCTCCTCCTCCTCCTCCTCCTCCTCCTCCTCCTCCTCCTCCTCCTCCTCCTCCTCCTCCTCCTCCTCCTCCCTCCGCCCTCATCCTTGCTCTCGTCTTCCATTCCTGGTCGCCATAGAAATAGCCCCTCCACGTCGGACTCCCGGGGCGTGCCGGCAGGGCGGGCGAGGCGTTTCGCCCGACACTTCCTCATCTGATGATCCGAAAGCTCGGAACTTGCAGCAGCTTCGCTGATGCAAATTCTTGTGGTTTTCAGGTCGTGGTTCAGGTCGACACATTCTGATGAAGGTTGGCTCATGTTTGCTTTTCCTCTGCACTGGTTTTCACTCAACGAGTCGTTCGAACGACATTCCACGACGTTTGCGCTGGTCTTCAGGTCGTGGCGCAAGTTTTCACTGAAAAAGACACATTATGATGCAGCAGGTCCCACTTTAAATAGCGACCTTAAATAGCGTCGGCGAGCGCCCCTGGCGACCCCAAATAGCGTCGGCGAGCGCCCCTGGCGACCCTACATAGCGTCGGCGCGCGCCCCTGGCGACCTTACATAGCGTCGGCGAGCGCCCCTGGCGACCCTATATAGCGTCGGGCGTGTCGTGTTCAGCTTGCGGTTCTCGTCGCAGCGCCGCGAGCCTGACTACCCACCAGACCGCCCCAACCCAACCCGAAGACCCGAATTTCGGGTTGGGAGGGGGGTAAGGGTCCCACACGTGTTTTTGTCGATGTTTCCCGACCCCCCCCCCCCCCACTGGAAATCGAGGGCAAACCTGAGCCTTCGGGTTGGGTTGGGGTGGTTTGGTGGGTGGTGAGAGCCGTCGTCTTTGAAAGGTCTAGACCCTGGCGACCCTACATAGCGGGTGTGTCGTGTTCAGCTTGCGGCTCTCGTCGCAGCGCCGCGAGCCGTCGTTTTTACAAAGCTCACAGCAGCTTCGCGGGCGGCCCCCGTCGTCAAACATGCGGCTCTCGCCGCAGCGCCGCCTGCAGTCGTCCCAATGAATGTTCTACCGGAGCTCCACGGATGGAGGGCGGTCCGAGCTCAAGATGTGGCTCTCGCCTTCGCACCGCGATCCTTCTTACAAAAATTACCCCAGTGCGACCCTTCCTCTGCCTAGAACTTGGAGCCCCTAGGAAAGCAGCATGAGTTGCTATGCTATGCTATGCTATGCCATGCTATGCTATGCCATGCTATGCTGCGCGATGCTATGCTATGCTATGCTATGCTATGCTATGATATGCTATGCTATGCTATGCTATGCTATGCTATGCTATGATACGCTATGCTAAGCTATGATATGTCATGCTGCGCTGTGCTATGCTATGCTGCGCTATGCTATGCTATGCTATGCGAAGCTGCGCTATGCTATGCTATGCTATGCTGTGCTAAGCTATACTGCGCTATGCTATGCTATGCTACACTATGCTATGCTATGCTGTGCTCTGCTATGCTAAAGCTCAGCGAAGCTAATATGCAGCTAAGCTAGGCTAAAATAAACCTGAGCTAAGATGAAGCTAAGCCAGGCTAAGATGAAATACGCTAAGCTAAGATGAGATAAGCAACGCTAAGCTAAGGGGACGTAACTGAGGGAACCGCGGGGCGGATACTGGGGAAACCGCCCTGGGCGAGTTGCGCTGCCCGGCCCTTTAAGCATACCGAATAAGAACCCTTCTAGGCAGAGCCTAGGTAGGGAAAAATGCAGAAGCTTCACGGATGGAGGGTGGTTCCGTTTCAAAATGTGGCTCTCGCGCTAGCGCCGCGTACTCTAGGTCTTCAAAGCCTACAACATGTTTAGATACTATGTTGTGGTTGACGTCCAAGAAATTGTGCGTTGGCACGATGTAGGACTGTCGGGGCGAAACAGTCACTTTGATCCGCGGCGTTGAAGTTCCAAGAAAAGCTTTCTGGCACGATTCAGGATCGTCATGACATCACTTTCGGCACACACTTGTGGATTCCATTAACTACGCAGGAAAAACAACGACAACCTACACCAAGCTTCAAGGGCAACCACCCCTTGAAAATAACAGCGGCATCTCGGCTAAACCAGCAACCCTCCGCCTACGAAATTCTGAAAACGGCTGAAAGTCAATTGACCAAACGCGCGGTGAGTTTTGACAAATAATTCAAATTAATTAACAGACTGAAAAAATTGAACCGACAAAACGTAAACGAAAAAACGTTGTGTCTTAAAACTGAAGCATACATCTGCGATGCAGGGGCCATTTATTCAAACATCTATTTAGATAGTGGTATGGAAACTAAAAGCTCGCGTTCGTGTCCACTATGTTCTAGGTTCGACGCGCGCGCATATACGGTTTCAATCACGCTCTTTTGTAACGTCGTTCTGCGCGTTCGAATGGCCATCGCGCGAATAGGAATTATGATGTATACCTTCGCTCAATGCGACTCTGGCTCGGATCTCAAAACTTACACTGGTTTACGCGGTTCGGCTCGTCACGGAGGCAAAGGAAACCCGAGACACACACTCCGCAACTGCTAAACTCAAATCAAGCAATTCGCACAAGACTCCCGAAGACACCGCGGGCCGCGAGAGAGGCCAGGGGAGGTCCACCTGCCAGTTCAGGGGGCCACGACCCACAACAGAGGCCCGCCCTGAGGGGTTCGCCGGCGCGCCCACCGTCGTCGCGCAACCGCCGCGCAAAATTTGACGGCGCTGGGCTGCCCTGAAGGGATGAGAGGTGCCCGCCAGCAGAAATCGACAACGAAATCTTGGATCCGAAGGGTACCCCAATCCCGCAGCGACTGCCAGGACTGATGTCATGACGCGACAATAACGGTGATTCGCGGCGTCGATGTCCCAGCAACGGTGTTTTGGTTGGCACGGTTGTCTTCGGACGGGGCATTTCCCTCAATGAAAAATCCTTACAAGGATCAAGGAGGAGGGTACTTGGAAGAAGGGTTTATTGAAACGTCGTTACTGAGTCTTGGGCTCACACTGGTCCTCCTCCTCCGCCTCCTCCTCCTCCTCCTCATCCTGCTCCTCCATTCCTCCGCCTCTTCCTCCTCCTCGTCCTCCCATTCCTCGCCCTCCGCCTTCCGCCCTCCGCCCTGCGCCCTCCGCCGTCCTCCTCCTCTGCGGAAGCCGCACACGCAAGTTCGCTCAGGCAAAGGGTCGCCCTTAGCCGATGGACGCCTCGCCGAAGCGGCGCGAGCCTTCCGCATCGCTCGGGGGCCCGTTGCCCTTTCTCCAGTCCGGTGAGGCCTGCCCCCACCGCGCCAGCAGGCTGCCCCGCGCCTTCCACTCGATGAGGACATCGCCTGGCCTCCCCTCGTTCATCCTACCCGCTCCTCCTCCTCCTCCTCCTCCTCCTCCTCCTCCTCCTCCTCCTCCTCCTCCTCCTGCTCCTCCTTTTCATCTTCCTCCTCCTTTTCCTCCTCCTCCTCGCGCGTACCCAGAGGCGCAGCGGGGGCTCACGGGTCCTTACTCATCTAGCTGCTGGAGCAGCTGAGCTCTGGTAGCGCGGGCACATCCCTCGGGTTTGCACCCTCGCCGTCGATGGCTGCACACGTAGGAAGCCAAGACCACTCCCTGGACCGCAAGCACTCGCTGGTCAGGTGTAATGGCACTAGCTAAACCAAGCCTTCGGTCGAGGTGTATCTCAATCGGGGAGTCTGGCCTCCAGATTGGTAAAATATGGCCCCAACGCAGAGGGCACGTCATATAATGCTTCTGCGTATGTAATTCACCACTGCTCTCAACTAGACACTGGCAGTCTCTCTGACGCATCCTCCTCCCCGTCGTCCACCCACCCAAAGTTTTGACCAAAGATATCTGCCATGCTGGGTGCATGCTCACCATCGCGTCTCTCAAACAAGGCCAGGGATTCGCCGTCAACGCGCGAGCGGATGGCGGCCTAGAAGCCCAAGCAGCGAGACGTTTCAGAATGGCGCGGTCCAAATCATCCACCAGAATTAGCTTTCCAAGCTCCTCGCGATCGTCGTCTGGATGGGGGCCACAGGATTCTCCGCGCGGGTAGTCTCGAGAGCAAGGCGGGCCTCAGTGACAGCCGGGGCGAGTCTGGGACGCGAGGGAAAGGAAGCCGAGGCAATGGCCAGTTCCTGCACACAGGGGCGCGCTTGCCAGTGCTCGGGCGACCACTTGTTGGCAGTCCACAGTACCATCGGGAGTTCCTCGCGGCCTCCCTCCTGAAGCCTATTGAATCCAGGCCAGTTCGACACCGTGCACATTGACGAAAGGATGAGAACAGCAGCAGTGACAATTCTCATGGGCTGCGGTCGAACTGTAACCCACATGCGAAGACTGAGGAGGGAGGCGAGAGGAAACGAACATGGTGGTAGATGAAGCACTCGATGCAGAGCCCAGCTCCCACTTGGCAATATTTGACGGGCGCGGCGCTGTCTGAGCCAAATACGACAATTTCGATACCGCTCTCGGATTGTACATTGCTACAACCTTGGAAGGGGCGGCCTGCGTAGCAGCCAGATCATTGATGGCACCACACCACTCTCGCAACGCACGCACCCACGCCCTGTCTCGGGTAGCTGCTGGGTCGATCCACACGCCCAAATATTCTGCACAACCGACGATTGGAATGTCCTTCCAGCGCGGCGTATGCTTAGCGAGGCGGGCAGAGACACGCTGCTGCAACCCACTGGAGAACGCAGCGCCTACTGCGATGAGTCTGCACTTGGGGAACCACTAGCTGCTGGCCAGCCAAAACCTGGGCAGCACAAGAAACTCCCGAGAGCTGCGCAAGGCCCATCAAATCCTCCACCGACACCCTCACGTCGTCCGCACAAACCCCCACCTCCGATCCAGGGAACCTACTCTGCCTCTTGCGCATGTCGCGAATTATAGGATCCATACCGAGAGCCCAGATCGTTCCGCTGAGCGGGTTTCCTTTCATGACACCCGATTGAATGAAACATAGAAACGAAATAGCGCCACGGAGAGCGACTGATGCAGAGGAAAACGGATAGGTGGCAGCTGTGAAGCGTTGAAATCCAGTCGGGAGATCAATAACTTCAAGAAAAACCAAAAAATGAAGATATGGGTGAGGGAGGGGAACGCATTGCCAAAGTCAAGAAGCAGGATTGCTGGGAGTTTGCCCTCCGCCGTCGTTCGCATGCTCGCAGCTCTCGCCCTCGTGTCAAGAAGAGTAATGTTATCCAGAAGCTTGTGCTGAGCCACAAACCCCCGCTGGTGGGGATGAGCCTCCTTAGTGAGAACACGCTTGAGACTATGATTACAGGCAAAGGCTGAGTCTGTTGCATCCGTGTTTTCAAAGTTAAGGACCTGGTGAAGGTCGCCTCTCGGACCATAAACGATGAGTCCTCCAACCAGTGCCTCTTGGGAACAAAACCAAGCAAGAGCCTGTTCAGCTCCACTGGCGGTGGAAACCCACTCAGAAACTCTATCAGTAGCTCAGATAAAATAGCTGGAGCTGACTGGGACTGCTGCTGCGCCTGACTGGGACTGCTGCTGCGCCGCAGATGGAAGCCCATCGGGACCAGGACCAGGAGCCGCAGAGAGGTGATAAGGGAGAACACAACATGATCACGCTAAAGAGTTACAAGGTTCATTGACAGCTGCGTCCAGATTACTCGGAAGGGATTGCAACGAGACTTGCAGGCGGTCCGGGTCGTCTCCTGCAACGCCCAGCGCGCGGGCGTGCATATCGGCAGTCCGTTGCAAGCGCGGCTTGCCGCGATTTTTCAGGGAGCGCCAGTCTCGCGGCATGAAAGAGCTCTGGCCTGGCTGGCAAACCATTGCGTTCGCCAGCGATTGCGGGGAAGCTTTGGCGAATTTCCCAGTCGTATTTCACTTGCCGCTCCAACGAAAGAAATGATAAGAGACGGACGCGTGCTTCAGACCGCGCGCGCGGTGCTGTTTCGGGACAGGGAAGCGGGCTGGATTTTCGATACTGTGCGAAAACAATTGGCTTGAAACCCGCCCAGTCTTTCTTGGTTGGCATTCAGCAGCACGCAAGACTCCAATCCAAACAACAAACTGGAGAAGACACGCGCCTGCAGGATTCGCATCTTGTGTTGCTTGGTATATTCGCGTGGTTCCATACAGCGCAGACCTTATCAAATGCCACTTTTCGCCTCTCCGAGACGCCGCGATACTTCAATTAATTGTTGGCTTGCCGTCTGCGGTCAAAAGCACACCAAGGTACACGGCGCTTCCTTTCGTTTGAATGATTTCTCTGATTGGCCCTACGGCTGTGTCGTCTGATCCGTTTCCCAATAAATTCGCTTTATATGCGTTGAGTTCCGATCCTAATGATTACCCAATCTGTGACAGTATGTGGAAATTCCTTTGATGTGAGTCCCGGCACTGCGAGACCTGCAACGTGTCATCGGCGTACAGCACGTCCTGGGTTATCACGTAGGGTTTGTCCTTGACATTGACAGGCTGCGTGGAGACCTTTGTGTCGACAGTCTCGAAGAACACAGACATTATGACTACAAACAAATAAAGCGATAGTGGGCACCCATACGCAATTCCAGCTTGTGGAATATTCTGCGATTAACTGTCCGCCCCGCCGCTGACAATGAATTTGTGCACCTTGTAGATGGCAGCAATCATGCTCAGCATCTCGGGCGGCACCTTATAATGCCGAGGTGCGAACACTGATCCGTTGGGTTTTACGCGATCAAATGCCTTGCTCCAACCCAGCAAGAGCAATCATAATGTACCATTTGTGTTCTATGTAATATGACGCTGGCCAAAATGTTGTAGCCCAGCGCCTACAAAGAAATGGGCCTGTAATTGCCCGGCTCGGAGGTGTCGCCCATTTTGACGATAGATACCACTGAGGCTCCTCGGCATTGCTCTCGTATGTCCTTTAGCTGCCAAAAGTCGTTACATAGAGTTTGCAGGATTTCCAAAGCTGCGCTGTCTCTCCACAGTGCGTGCCAGAAGCCTGGCGGGACTCCGTCGCTACCAACCACTTTCTGTACCTTCAAGGCCTTGACTGTCCGCTGTGCTGTACTTCCGCTAGTGTGATACTGCGGTCGTCGATGTTTAAAAACCGAGCGCCATCCACTAAGTTGGGAAGCTGTTCTCATTCGTGGCACAAATTCCATTGTTCTTTTCCAAAGAATTTTACATTGCTTCGGCCCTCAACTCTGAGTATACCAGATTGGGCCGGCCATTCCAGAGAGCCCGAAAAGAATTCGATCAATTATGCGTAACATCTTCTTCCAACCAATGTTTTCTGTCAGCACGTGCTGACACTTGATTTTGTTTGTTGAATATCCTGGTCGTGTCTGTGTTTGCACCGTAGTCCGCACTTAGTTCCGCTCCTCGATCACATGCAAAGCTCTGGTCGAGATCCAGGGCCGCTTCCTCTGCACTGGCATGGTTGGTAAACTCTCCTCGTTATCTTCCATCGAAATCTTCATAAATAATCCCTCCACGTCGCACCCCGAGGCCGGTCGAAAGGGTGCTCCTTTTCAAAATGTGGCTATAGCCGTAGCGCCGGGCACATTCGTTTGAAACATTTGCAAGAGCTTCACGGATTGAGGGCGGCTCCTTCTCAAAATGTGGCTCTCGCCTCAGCGCCGCGCAGATTCGTCTTAAACACTTGCACAAGCTTCACTGATTAAGGGCGGCTCCTTTTCAAAAAGTGGCTCTCGCCATAGCGCCGCGCACACTCGTCTTAGACATTTGCAAAAATTTCACGGGTTCCCATGGTTGCCGTGCCAGAAACGATGTTCTGGAACGACTCAGGATTGCCAGGGCGCAACAATTACGCTGATTCGCTGTGTTGAAGTCCCAGGGATGATGTTCTGGCGCGTTTCAGGATCGTCAAGGCGCGACAATCAGGTTCACTCTTGGCGTTGCAGTCCCGAGAATGCTGTTCTGGCACACTTCAGGATCTTCAACCGGTTGTCCCCCAACGGGGTACTTCCTCCAGTGGAATGAATCCTCGCAGGGGCCTATGGAGAGGGAGTCTTTGGGGGGCTATTCCAACAGCATTGATGAGTCCTGGGTTTACACTGGTCCTCCTCCTCCTCGTCCTCATCCTCATCCTCGCTCCAAGACGGCCGACGAGGCCTCCTAGACCATCCCAAAACGGCCCAAGAGGCCTCCAAGAGACCCCCAAGACGGCCTGAGAGCGCCCCAAGACGGCCCAAGAGGCGCCCAAGACGGCCCACGAGGGCCCAAAAGAGGCCCCAAGAGGCCCAACAGAGGCCACAAGAAGCCCCGAAATGGCCCCCGAGAGGCCTCAAAACTACCTCCAAGAGGCCCCCGAGAAGCCTCCCACGAGATCCCAACGAATTTCCAA